CAATAATCATGCTTCTTTTTTAATTTTTTTTTCTCTTTTTTCCCCTCTCTCTTCATCTTAACGACCTACGCGAAATGCGCATACAACCACACGAACGTGGGACGGCTCTAACTAGCCAGCAAGAAAACGCGGCGTCACTTTGTTGTAAGTAGTTAGTATTGTAGTTTTAAGCACTCAAATTACTAAATAAAAATATTGAATAAACATCTATATAGGCTACGTACTTTAATTAGCCTATCTAAAGAGTTAAAGTGGAAGTCAAGTCCGTAGGTTTGTTTACATTTTGAACTTCACTATTTTTTAAAATACGATGTGCTGTCTGAATATCTAACACTATATAGGTTCATTATGCTTCTAAATTAACATGAACTAGAGTTTATGTTAAGAAAAAATAAGAAACATGCGAAATTTAGGCAATTTTCACATCAGAGGGCCTCCACTTGTTATGAGCAGAACCTATGCGCAGAACAGACTTGCATGACCTCCACTTTAAGAACCAGCTAAACTTATAATGATATGTTACAATCCATCGCTCGAAACAGGGGACTTCAAAGTGTCTAACGCGTGGTTAATTAAAGTCATTCGATTTTTTAGTTACTCATTCCATACTTCTTTGTAGGATACATATAGTAGCTACTTTAAAATCAAAAGTAAAAAAATAACAGGAATAAAATAGAAAATTGAATGTTTAGTAATGAACAAAACAAATAATAAGCTGTGCGGATGATGATGTACTGCTCTATATAGGGAAAATAAGAAGGAACATTTTATCTATATATTTTGATTTCATATGGCGCTTTGGCCTTTTTGACTCAGATCGCCCTTCCGACTGCCACCAACGCATACTCCTCAAGTGCTATATAATTATCTTTGTTTTTCCCTTCAAAATTGAATCTATATTTAGGCCTAAATTATGATTTAAATATGAATAAAGAATATACCATGCCATCTTAATTGGTAATTTGAAAAAAAAAATAATCTAAACTCGTCTTTCTACTTTCATTACTTTTTAAAAAAAAAAGAGAGTATGTCCATATTGCATGCATAGATTACGGATGTTACTCCTCTCTCTATATATAAAAAATATCAAAAATGTGAACAAAGGTAGAACAAATCAACATGTTTCAGTTCTTTTCCTCGATAAACTAAAAGGAAACAGTTGCAGCATGTAGAAGAAATTCAGCTTTTACAGTCTAATTAACTAAAAGCATGAACGAGGATCATCGATCCATTTATAAAAAAAAAGAGAATAAATATGCATTCTAACCTCGATTCCTCAACATGCAAAATGAAGTGCCTTAGCTACAAAGTTACGTACATCTTTACTGGAGTCTATAATTTATACTGTGTAGATGATGCTATTAAGAGAAATTCAAAGAGTTCAGAACTTCACCCCTTCAAAAAGAACAATGTTCAGACTTCACCGTCACCATCATTGCTACTTGTTCTTTTGATTGGTTAATCTGGTAAAATTATCGCATTTTTTATTGGTTTATGTTCCTTCATGTAGGTAGCTTGTAGTGGAATACAAATTTGAACTACGCCTATCAATCCTTGATAAATATTTTCCATGTTAAAGATAAAATACAAAACGAATTAGGCCAGAAACTACTTCAATTATTACTATACATACTTTACTTAATGCAATAAATTAGCCTTCGTCGTCAGCGAAATCATCAGACGCTCAGAGATAGATACGTTGTCGTATACGTTTTTTCTAACGCCAGTAGCTTCCGACTGTGAATATGGTAATGAGGGGTAATTAATCGTTAAATCTTCCCATGCATATACAAAAACAAAGTACTTGAATCATGCATAATAACCGTACAGCGACACACTTACACAGCACTGACCGAAAAATTGCAATTTAAAATCTGTCTTATATAATAAGATAAATCAATGTCAAAATATTTTGCAGGCGAAACACACAAACTATAATCATTTGAAACAAGCACCAGCATTTCATGAGATGTATAAATATATAATAGCAAAGCATTCTCTACATCGTCATTTGCCTTTTTTTAAATCAAAAACCTGTTAAAGTTGAAAAACTCAAGCAAAATTATTTCCCATTTTGATAATATATAGATTCGTTGCATTGGAGGACAATCACCTTTTTTTGGACTAATTTCAAGAATGATATAACTGCGCGAATCTTACACTGCATCGTATAATAAAATATCGAATGCATGGTGGTTTTGCACTGAATGGATTTAGTTACCCTCTAAACAGATGATCGACGCAAAGGGATAGTGGAACAGTGTGTCAGCATAGGAATTACTTTTGGGCAGTAACGACTTGTTAGGGTAAAAAAATTGGCATGAACGACCTACCCACACATTGTTAGACGGAAATCCTAAAAATTACGTCAATAGACATAACCCTACTTGAATACATTAAAATTCGGCAGTTTCAACCATCCATTATAAAACCAGAAGCTATGCCATGCTGATAAACATATATTGCATACAACTTTTGACATTCAAGACAACGGGACACTATGGCTCAAGCAAAGTTACCGCAACAACAAAAGAAACAAGAAACAAGTAAGCCGTATAAATTTTTATATACAATGTTTGCTATTGTTTATACTTCGGTAGGTTGCACGATCCAGTTTCTATGTATGCGATTAATAGCAAAATAAATCAGTATTAGTAAATTACTTTTTCTTCTCTATTTTTTATATATTTATGCATTGGTATTTTAGAATATAGCTATCGATTAACGTTAAATAAGAGAGTTAAACATTTACTGTCATTATAATTTATATTAGCCAAATGAAAACCTTCTTAAATAGAATTTGTGATATGTTTTTTAATAACTGGATGATTCATAAAGTCTTTTTTATGTAACTATCAACTATGGAGTTAATACTAACGAGTTTTAGTAACTGACCCTGTTTTGCTATATTTTTGGTGTTCAATAGTATGTAATTCTACCATATAGGTGCATGACTGTAAAGTATTTATACATTTTATATTTAGTTATAAATAAATTTTACATCTCAATGTTACATGTAGAATTACCCTTTCATACGGCTTCTACTTTCCCCCAAAGCAGAGTTAATTGACTTCACAGCTATACGTTTAGATATAGGAAATTCTCCACTATATGGCATTAATTCAGAATTTCAACAAAAAAATTATATCAATTTGTCAGAACTGACCATACAGAATCAATGTAATAAATTAAAAATACTAAAATTACTATTATGTGCAATGACGGTTTGAACAAAAAAATACTAAAAATATCCTTCATTGCAAAAATAGTGCATGCAAGTAATATGACAAAGCAGAAAATTACAATGGTGTGAAAGTTATACATAGTTATGCCACCCCCACGAAATTTAATTAACTATACACAGACTAATAATCTCACCATTTGTGAAATATATTCAAAGGCTATTCCACAGATATAGAAAACTATTTAATTTGAAGGGGGTATACACTGACACAGCAGTCTGTATAAACTGGTGAACACAGCTTAAAATTAAAATTTTCATTGCCCTTAAAATAATATCAGCCGAAAAAAATATAAATTGATTTACCCTCACCTATTCTCGGCATTACCATCCTATACACATTAACCACGCTTGCTCTTGTCAGCTACCTCTGTAGCTCAGTGGCAAGAGCATTGCACCGGCATCGCAAAAGCGTATGTTTCATTCTTGCCGGAGGACCGATATTTGACTCATTTTTTCATCAATTGTTCCTGGCTTGAATTTGAAGTGTGTATAATTCCACTCGAAATTAAGACCCTTTGAACCTCTAGTATATATACAAACAAGTATACCCTAAAGTAAGAGCGATATAAAGTTACGTTGTAAGTTCGGACTTTGAAACTAATTAGAGATTTATAAATTTCAGCTTAATTCTAGAGCATATAGTTCACATATGCCTGTAGCTTGTCGTTGGGTGATTACCGTTACATACCATGTGGCTAATAAGCAAAATAATTTCTAAAACACTATAGCAGCCGCGTAATAGGGAAATGCAGTGGGGATCTAACGTAATTGAAAATAACTTAGTGCATAGCATTTTTAAAGTTAAAGTACTTGAGTACCGATGTCATTGGTATATTGATACAACGCCTTACTATACGCACGCGTGATGTGACTGGCCTAGGTTTATAAGATATTTGACCACGCCATCAGTCATGCAGTGAACAAATTTCATTCCTTTATCGTCTGATTTTCGCAATAAAGATGCCGATTGAAAGAAATGCCGAAATAATTCGGACGTAAATTCAGCTTGAATTTAAAAGTTGCATATTGTAAAATTAGGCTAATCACCACGATATATGCATGTATATCTGGCTCTATACCAACCAAATTTATTCGCCTTCACAAGAAATCATATTTTAACTGTTGGCGCCATATTAAAGTCTGAAAACTGCATTATACGTAGAGCTATAACTTTTATACATTCGTTTAACATGCTACTGTAGGACACCATTACACGCTTTTCCCTATTTTCAAATTGCTTAAATGCATGCTTATACAGGAAATGTCTAAACGGAAACATTTCGTTTCATAAGGTAGATGAAAAAGCGAATAAAAGATTTCTGTTTTTTGTTCAAAACTCGCGAACTACAATTGTCAGAGTCACAGAGGTTTTAAAATATTTTGAGTGGTATATGTGGAACCTGCATGTGGTGGACCTGAAGTATGTCAGTCTTAATTAAGCTATATACTCAATCCTGTTTATATACGAATTCCTTTTTGGTAGTTTCTGTCCAGTTATACGGGACATGAGAGTAGTTCTCTCACTTCCCTTAAGGCAAAATATCTGTTATAATAATATGAAAGAATAATACGCATAACGAAATCATTCCTGCTGCTGACCTATGTATAATTATTGAGCGAAGTTGCTTTGGTCATGCAAGTGTGAATAATTATCTAGGAATATAAGATCTAATACAGTTCTGCTTCCTGTAGGAATTCACGAAATTACGTCAATACTTAACCAAAACCTATCCTGTTATTATACTTGTTGACACTTGTTGACAAACTGGGCATTGTCTTTGTGCTTGACTAATATTGTTAACGACGGTCCTTATTCTTCAGTCCATGTTACTAAAATAAACATTACTATACTACAGTAAAAACATAGTAAAAAGGCAATGTCATTCTCTCGTGTGAAACATTGAAAACTTCACTAAATGTAGTCTTGACAACAAGTATACAACTTTATTAAGTCGCCCACACAACCGTGGGCACAATATATGGACGAAATATAATTATCCCTAACGACGTCAAGGAAGCTATGAATATATTATATATAGTACGATAAACTAAGAATCTTTTGGTCCCACGGAAACTGACGGGCCAGCCACACGTCATATGGGATGATATTTCATAGGGGAGAAACATACTTTCTCCTCAATATAGCTATATTTTATACGAGGTTAAACACTTGTATTGGTATAACCTGCAGTTCTGACTGAAAGAATGGCTAACAACAGTAAGTCGAGTGGTTATATATTATTATATATTGTAGGCCTAAAGCCTCCTTAGGATTAAATAAGGTATATTTCCATACAGCATTAGATTTTGCCAAGACAAAGTTGTGCACTAAATATAATAAATGTAATAGATGCTATTGTGATCCAGACTTAATAAGCCAGGTCTATTAGACCAGGTCTAATAAGCAATGTTTTAGATATCTAACCTCCATTATGAATATTTCTGTATATTTGATCATTACGAAAAAAGGGAGTCAAATTATTCAAATATATAAATATAGGTTACATTCAAGAAAAAGTAAACGTTAACGAGGATGAGTCGCTATCAATAGCATGGTTAATATATTTGATACAGGACGATACATAGAGCGTATTAGACGTCAATATAACTAAACCGACGTATAGGCTATAGCTAACAACCACAGTGCATGTAGCTATAATTCACACCAAAATTCTAAGCCATTGTGCTTGAGTTGCAATCATAACTTAGTGGCTAATGCATTGAAATAGTTTTATAGACTTTTGAAACTTTAATTCATGAAATAAAATGTATATGTTTATTATGCAACAATTCTAATTTGGTCATTACTTCATTTTGCTTATCAAATTCGAATACAAATACGAATTTATGCCCTGCTGTTTAGGAATTTACAACTGATCAGCAATATACTCTATAGTTGGTTTAGTCCCAATCCTATACTATATATGGTCTTTTTAATATTCTATAATTAAAATCTATACATTTATTCTGTGTTTCTGATATATACATTGTCAGAATATCTACTCTTTGAAATAGGTATCTCTATGAAACTATATTCCTATAGTGAACTGGTCAAATAGTGATATTAATAGCGAACAGCTAGACGCATTGTTCAATGGAAGAGTGCATGACAATGATAAATTCTAAGTGTCCAAAAAATATGGGATAAGTTTTTTCACCATTTTAAATGTAATGATGGTATTTCTATTATAATATGAAATAGCCATGCATACATAAGAGAATGGTTTTGAAGTGTTTTGTGTCCAATGAAATTCCTTTTTCCCTCTAGCAAAAGTAAGAAAGCCATGGCAAAGCGGACAATACACAGTATACCTCTGGGAATTTCTATATGGCTTGCTTCAAGATCCAGAATGCTGTTCGTTAATTACATGGACAAATAAAGAGATAAAAGAATTTCGAATCAATAATACACACGAGATTGCAACATTGTGGGGCACGGTCAAAAACCGCCCAACTATGAACGATAAGAAACTTCTTAGAGCTCTGAGATATTATTACAAAACAAAAATCTTAAGAAAGGTTTGATGAATAATTTTTTACATAAAAGCTATAAAACCACCAAGTAGACTATTTTCTTATACTTACTTGTAACTATACTTGTCAAATGTTGTATAACAACTGCCTAATTCTCGATGTTTCGTCGATGTTTCGACCTAATTGGGGCCTTAAACATTTCGGCCTTAATTGACTATCCTATTGTTCCACGAAATTTTGCCTAAATCAGCCATAATCCTCTACCATTCAAAGACTGAATAAAAAATATAATTACACCGTAACCGTTAAACAATTGTTTGCGCCTGCCATATTCATAATGTGTAGAAATGTATGCATTGTGAAGTGAGGCACATGTTCATATATCAGTCATGTTTACAGCCCTGTAAAGACAATGAATTTTAAAAGAAATTAACTTTGCACAACATGAATATATGAATATCTGCCCTGCAATTATCGTCCCCCGTACGCCACTGCACAGATCGCAAAAATAATCTATCGTGAAGCATATCAGTGGTACAACTATAACCGCGACAATGCCATGCAGGCGCCGCAAATAATAAATAACGGGAAACATTCTGACGACGTACTAGCTGACCGTCTTTCCGTTCAATTGTTCTCGTGTGTCCCAATCGTGAATTATATATAGTTCAGCATATCCATTTTGGCCTATCTCAGTTTTATATTATTTTCCTAATTCACTTGTATTCCGAGCTTTTAAAAAGCGATATAATCAAGCATTATGGTGATTGTAACACTTCTGTTAAAGAAGCGATCGTTCAGTTAGATTGGATGACTTGAGACGTCCTGTTACTAATAATATCGGACTTTTGATATATTCAATATACAGCATATTTTTGGTATATATTACATACAACTAATAAGTGAATTTTGTATATTTCAGGTTAAAGGACATAAAGGCGTTTACCAATTTCTATCCATACCATATGAAACAGAAGGTTGTGACCAGGAAGTAAAGGGGTCTGTAATGAGTAAACCATCTCCTATTAACACATCAATAAACGGTTTAAAATCTAACTGTAGTGAAAGACTGACAAATGATAGTGGAGTTGCCGAAGGCTACTGCGGTTTAGCAGCAGTTTCTCAGATGGATTGTAATCATGAGGGAACCATTGACAAACAAGAACAGACCGAGGGTCGCTTCGATAAATGCAACGATCGTCCGCGAGACGAGAGTTGGTCTGATTATTCTTCGTCAAGTGACAGTAGTACAAAAAGTTTGGACGAGCTACAAGCGGACTTGCTTAATACCGACCTAACAGAGATGACTGAGAATATGGACTTTGTCTTCAATGAAGACAGTGATTTAGGAATGTACCAGAATGGAAACACATTGGGTTGGTAGAAGGGAAAAAACCCACTCAAAACCTTTTATGCCCTAAGAGCCTTGTTCTGCTGAACGCTAAGGCATGCAAAGATATTGATTTTTACATAATTTATTAAAACAAGGCGCCTAGGCCAGGGTATATATATATATGTACACAATTTACGAAAGTAAAGCATACACAATTTTAAAATGTAACTATATATTGTAAATATACAACTATTGTAATGCAACATAATAATTAAAAAATAAACTCTTATAAAAAATCCCTCATAGTAACTCGACCACTACTAAACTTAGTTATCTAGACAAAATTGACTTCTATAGTTATAGATTTGATCCTAGATACAGCATTTCTATTAAAACCAAAAACTTCAATTTATACACAAAGGCGTGGCAAATTGGGGGGGGGGTGTCATATGATTTCGACCAACTTATACTGAAGATACCCACTTTTTAATCCGTGTACCGGGCCAACGTTTTATGGCAACCCGTATGAATGTAGGTTTAATGTATGCACTGTGAAGAAACATATAGCATATAAAATATATCCCTATACAGACCTATATAGTATCTAGGAGAAAACGGTCATATTCTATAATTAATGACTGCATGATGCTGATGCATGCACTTGGCTATGAAATTAACAGACTTTTTTGCAGAATATTGACTGATTATTGACCGAGCGTGAGGTCTGTACTGTGAAATATCAGACGAGGCTTTTTAGTCTTAAAAAACGTCGGTCTGATATTTCACAGTACAGATCGGACAGGCAAGGCCAATAATCGGTTTATTATATGGCTGAATTAACTGCATGAGACATCCGGGATATTGGTCCAGATACGGAATATACGGACCACGGTCCGGATATGGGGTTTTACGGACCGCTCGTCAACCAATCAGGATACAGGATTTTGAAAAGCAATATAATAATTCAATTTATACAACATCGATCATCTATATTGATGAAAGATATTAAGAATTAAAACAATCCGTGTGAGTGAAAGGGCGCTTATATGTAGCTTACCACTGCATGATACGTAATTTTTCTTATTTCATAAGACCAAGAAATGATCGCATAATTGTAAAATGAAAATTATAGTGATCGAAATCAAACAAATTAATTGCAAAACAAATGAATTTACCGGAATTAATGTTATCTTCGACCAGCAATTTTAAACGCACGATTATTTGGCATTCAGTCTAGCCATAATTGAGACATGAAAAGGTATTGTAATTAAAGCCCCATGCAGTAACGGGATACTGGGTTAGTAGCGTACCGGATTACTTTCCATATCAGATAGACGATGCAGTACACGAGGATGCAGCAATTCAGTACGCTCCAAGGAATGAAAATCATTCCGCTGTGGCCGGGTGGATGAAAAATTTATCCGGTATATTTCTTTATCTGTGCATGTAACCGCTCTAATCCGGTATATATAATATGCTTGGTGGAAAAATAAATGGACATCAAAAGCTTGCAAAGGGTACCACGACCACAAAAGAAGTTCTACTTCGCTGTCAGCACACGAGAATATTTTATTTAGACTTTTCGCTTTTTTTTAGACTTGCCCTTCATTGTTCGCGATTTTATTGCAATTTTGAATCAATCCGTTATCGGGTAACCAAGACATATCCGGTACCATATGCATATCGAATCATCCGACACGAAAACTAATCCGATATCGTGTAACATGGGCCTCAGAAAAACAAGAAATGAAGAAAATCCCTTTTTTTCTGTAAAAACGTAAAAACGTTAATGTAAAAATAAATCTTGTCATCCATGCATATATAGTGAATTATACGACACACTCTTTTGTTTTTGAGACACCCTGTATGAAACTAGTAATAGAAGATATCGTATCTTGTGGTTCGCGACGTATTCCTCATCCTCATTACTAATGAATTAGTGTTCCGTATAGGAAGTAATAGGACCCGCATAAACTAATCAGGATATACTGGGCCATAACAATCAAATCGATTGTATAGAAAGCAAGACCGAGGGACAACATGCAGATCCGGAGGTAATGTTAAAACCAATTCAGGTCAGTAATATTTAATTTGTATATATTGTATGCATCTACACACATAATATGATCATTTGACTTTATCTATAGGTATATGTTTATCCGCGTTAAACGGCAGGGAGGTATATTGGCCTATTATATTTTCATGCTTGGGGTTTTGAGTATTAAGGAAAAGTGCATGCTGATCGTCTTCATGCATCCTATTTTTTATCACTCTTAGTTTTTTTCTACAAATCACTAAGGAATAAAATGTTCGCATCTAGTCTTCTTGAATACTTGTAGATATGTATGTTAGCTACATCACAACCAGGGCACATCTAGCCTGCGCACAGACGTAATGTACACGTAAAATACGTGTACATTACGTCTGTGCGCAGGCTAGAGCACATCATACTTTTGTCGAGATCAACACGAGCTCAAAAATATAATATACATATACACTTTATGGCCTTCGAATTAAGACTTTTAAACATCAACTAATCAATATTACGTCAGATACGAATCTCTCACTGACCTGAAAACTACCGGAACATGTATCCTTTCGAATTCTATGAGCTCATTTTGAATATTTACAAGAATGTTTACGAACTATAACAACCTCAGTTCTGTTGAATTCTCAACAAACAAACGTGCATAATTATTACGCGGAATCCAAATGAGAAAATTAAAATCACTATATTGCAATCTTCCTTGAAATTACTGAAATAAGATATACTTATATATGAAATAAGATATACAAACGCTGAGTTAAATGAAAGGCGTAGCTCATATTAACTGTGTAATCTTATATTGTGATAAATGATACATCGTGATTATGCCAGAATCATATCAAGGTATTTCAAGGTACCGGCTTCCACTGGTGTTGACTGGATCGGAGACAGCGACCAACAGCATTTATATCCTGTGATGAGTGTGATCTGTATCTCCGCTGCTCCGGGCTCAGCAAATTATTTTGCGAATCGTTATTATATACATACTAGCAAGTAGCAAATGCTTACTATAGTCGACAGATTTGATCGTAGTAATAATCAAGTTAGTTGAGTACCTACAATATTTGACGCGCTCTGATAGCAGTTCAGTATAAATGAGGCCAAGGCAAGCTTAAAAATATAGCTATATAAATAAAGTAATATGTTATTCGAGCTACTGCTTTCGTATAGTAAAACAACATGCATAAACATTTCCATGCCCCATGCCCCATGAGTTTGAGTGGTGCTTGATTATTTCAAGACGAGAGAGGACCTCAGCAGTCGGCCGGCAATTATATGATTAACCTGACTATGAAAATTCCACTTATTCTATGTTTTATATCAACCTAGCCGTTTGGACGTTTCTGTGCCATACCAGAATGACAGGCACCAGTTCATATGAGTATATTTAGCTTTGTGGACGACCGGGACTCTTGCAGTCACACGAGCCTTCTTGCCGTTACCCGAAGTCAGACGTAGGCTTTTTTGGGACAGGAAGGAACACTTTACTCAGTACAACCCATCTCAAACATATTTATTACCTAATTTGGAAAAACGTTTACGGAGTTAATTAATTATTGGCTAAAAACTGGTTATACGCAGATTGCGAAATCGCGCATGTATATCCGACCTGTTAAACATTTCCCTGACCAATTTGCATGTTCTTTGACAAATATATTTTTTCCATGCAGATTGCTTTAAGCCCCGTTTACAGCCCCGTTTACACAGCCCCGTTTACACTACACTCGTACCCGTACCCATTTCATCCGCGAGCTCCGCCTTTGTTTTGGTAGCCTGAACACTAATAAAATTGGGTACGGGTACCAATTTTAGCCGTGCCGTGCCAATAAATTGACTGTAGTGTAAACGGGGCTTACCCGGTTACACTCGATTTATTGGCACGGCACGGCTATAAAAATGAATACCCGTGCCCATTTCATCTGTGCTTGGCCTTTGTTTTGGTAGGCTGGCCAATAGTAAAATTGGGCACGGGTACCCATTTTAGCCGTGCCGTGCCGATAAATTGACTGTAGTGTAAACGGAGCTTTAATCGTGATGTATATTTCAAAGAAGAAATGAAGTCTATTTGTTAAAATAGCTCATCTATGTTACAGTATTGAGCACAAACACTATAGCAAAAAGTCTTACAATCTTACAAGTCTGGCCGGATCTTCCAATTGATATTATATATTCTTCAAAGTATATTCCCAATTTGTAGCGTACAGGGCTTTGGCTTATCATGCAATCACTGCATGCATGCATGGAGCCACAGACATCATAGACGCCTACTTAGTTTCCGGAAACAGTGGGTCAATATTTCACTGAATGCGCTGTGAAATCCTAATCTATATTATATCAGTTCCAGGATCTAAGGCAAACAAAATATTGTTTTATGAAATTTGAAAGATATAAGGCGTATATAATCTAAAGATAGGCTATATAACGTATACAAAAAAAAGGAATATAAAACATTGCTAGCTGCTTTAATGGCGCCTACGATCCATGGTATCAGAGTGAGACGGCTCAGTGCCGTCCAATCACAGGAGTTTAAGTCGGAAGTTTGAAAATAATAGTACCAGGTCGATGAATAGGAAGTGTTTGTACAACTTGTATAAGATTTTGCAAGTCATTCCCCGCCTATTATGAAATTTCTACGCTCAACTGGCGATAAGAGCCCAACCTAGCATTATTTTGACCGCGGGTGTTGAAATTTCAACAGGATATACTGTATATATATAGTGTGTAAAAGCTGTCATGTGATGGGTGCTTTCTTTCCTCTTTTACTAAATGAGAGAGACTGGATTATTGTGGTGATGTGTCGGTAAATGAAGACAGAGGTTCATGGTGTACGGTGTTGTATAGTAAATCGCTAACTTGTTTGTTATACGATTAGGATCTTATTATACTCGCGGCTACATAAACTTTAGCCCATATTTGTTGATCATTATCGTCATTGGCAAGGATTATACTGCATGGTAAGTCTTTTTACAATGTTTTTATACTTATATCTGAACTCTAAAGCTTGTAATCCTAATTAACATTATTAAGTATTATTTATTGCGCACTTTGCTATATATGAAGTTACCACTATAACTTAAGCTTCGTACTTATAACAGCTACTGAATGCTTATGACACCTGAACTGGCAACAATTTATGGCAACTTTGATATAGATATATGCGACATCTGGAATTCTTTAAAATACATTGTTATTAATTGAGATATATTTACGTA